GACACATATCTGAAATAATGCTCTTTCAAATATTGATGTTATTATTTATTCTTCCAGATCTAAACTACTTCCCAGTGATACTATCAATATTGATTTCTAATGGTTTTAAAGAGATACGTCACATCATTTTAGCTCCCAATCAAGATGAATTTCATTCATAACGTTCCGAATGTTCTACACAATGAGATTTTGAAACCAATCAATGTTCTCTGTTTTAAACTTCAATTTCCAAATGTGCGTGCATCAACATAAATCTCAGAAAGGAATACTTGAATCAAAGAGTCCACCTTTGTTTTTATTTCTTTATTGATTAAATTTTAATGTTTTGCTTCCTCAAACACCCTTCAAAAAACCCAACATGAACTTACTCCATCTACTTTTGTGAGTTCAAGATAAAAATGTAGGAAGCAAAGCCTTGCTTTGAATTCCCTCTAATTGAACAGTCATTTCAATATTTTTCTGTTGGAATATAAGAAGTCACATTTTAATTGGAGCTGTTACATTTCAAGCTCAAAATAAAGTGTTCTGTGTACATACCTATTACTCAGAAAGGAGACATATTTACCTCTAGAGCTAATTTTGGGTTTATAGCCAAGACTGAATTTTCCCCTTTCCTTGATAAAAAGGAAGATTTTATATTATGTAGACAGGATAAATCTGTCTGTCTGTCGATCTGTCATCTTTTATCACCATCAACTTTAGAAAAAAAGCAGGAAGGAACTAACAGATAGTGGACTGGAACATATGTTTCCTGTGTTAAACGTACTAATTTAATTGTATTATTCATGTCCGTCTATCTCATTATTTCAATATTTATCTTGGATCTAGAAAAGCAGTAAAAAATGCTCCAGATTTGGTTTGGCACAATAGAGAACAACATTCCACACAAAAAAATCCCTTTAGAAAAGAAAGTTATACAATGGCTTAGAATGCTGCTACCTGTCACCATACTATAGTATGACATACCAGCCTACCCAGTTTTAGCACTTCTGGATATGTTGACTGGAACCCAGAATTCTCAGCAATAGACATGTTGAGAAATTCTGGGAATTGATATTTACATGTCAACAAAATATTCAGCATGTGGAAGGCTTGTATCACATATATTGATACCGTGTTTCTCCAACAATACGGCCTCCACCAATAGGAAGACCCAGCATGTTTTCTAGGCATAAAATCAAATTAAGCCCCCCCCCCCCCCAAATTTAGGCCTAATTTAAAACATGCAAAATGGGGGGGAGGGTGGGGGGACTTGCCATTTGGAGTGCCGTTGGAGCTACCGCCGCTGTTTGGAGTGCCGTTGGAGTTGCCGCCGCCGTTTGGAGTGCTGTTGGAGCTGCTGCCGCCATTTGGAGCTGCTGCCGCCATTTGGAGTGCCGTTGGAGCTGCCGCCGCCGTTTGGAGCTGCCGCCACCGTTTGGACTGCTGTTGGAGCTGCCGTTGCCGTTTGGAGCTGCCGCCGCCGTTTGGAGTGTCGCCGCCATGTTTGGAGCTGCCGCTTCCGTGTTTGGAGCTGCCGCCATGTTTGGAGTGGCGGCGGCACTCCAAATGGCAGTGGTGCTCCAAACAGCGGCAGTGCTCCAAACACGGAAGCGGCACTCCAAACGCCGGCAGCAGCTCCAAACGTGGAGGCGGCACTCCAAACAGCGGCGGCAGCTCCAACAGCACTCCAAACGGCAGTGGCAGCTCCAACGGCGCTCCAGATGAGGATGAAAGGGGGGGGGAATTAAGTCACCCCCAAAAAGACAGCCTAGCCGTTTTTTCGGGGCTCAAAAAAAAAATAAGGCCCGGGCCTTATTATGTGAGAAACACGGTATTTCCAATTTGTTCTAGTGGTCAAGGCACCAGGCTAGAAACAAGGAGACTGTGAGTTCTATTCCTACCTTAAGCAAGAAAACTGGCTCGGCGACTTTGGGCCAGTCATAATCACTCACTTCACAAGGGTGTTGTTGTAGAGAAAATAGAAGAAGGAGTAGGTATGTATGTTAGGTATTTTTGCTGCCTTGAGTTATTTATAAAAATAATAAAGGCAGGATAAAAACATATAAAGAGAAGTAAAAATAAATAAAATTGATAATTAAAAAATACATGACGTGCAGATTTAAATCTTCTAGATATAACTCAACCCAACTCACAATTCATACCAAAGAATAAATTGTTGAGTTAAATTCAAGCTATGAAATAATTCTATGAGCATTCTCTGCCTTCACTAATGCAAAAAGGGAAGCAACATACAAATAACTAGAATCTCATATATGAATGACATACAGCAGTCCATTTTGACTACAAGGAAAGATGAATACATGGCAAGATATTCCATGATGAACAGTAATTGAAAACTTCTCTTTAAATCAGCGGTCGGCGACCAGTGGGCTGCGGCCCACTGGAGGGCCGTGAGAAAATTTTGGTGGGCCGCAGAGAAATCTCACCCCCAGAGCACCCCCACAAAGCAATTAATCCAGACTGTGCAGAAACACAACACTGTGCCGCCCACATGGCCTGCGGGAACCGTCCCCGCACACTCACTTCCTTACCCGATAAACTTGCCTGATAAATTGCTATTTTTCCTTTTTCCGACCATCATCTGTTCTGCTGTGCTGGGAGATTTAGATTAGCTAGGAAGCAGGAAATGGCTGGATTTCTTGCTTGCTAGCTAGTTTTTAGATCTTTGGCTAAGCACAGCCAAACCTCTCTTAGGACTGAAGGTTTGTTGCAAGCAAATTAAGTGCAGACTCACAGCAAGCAAATTTGAGAGACTAAGCTAGCTGATGGCAGATAGATATATCTCTGAATGATTCTGTGAGCAACTCAATCTGCCTGCTTTGCCTGATTTTGGGTAAAAGTTGCTCTTTTTTATAAAAAAATTCAATATTTATATAAATATTTATAATATTTACATACAAGCCATGCCCAGCCAGTCACATGACCACCAAGCCACACCCACAAATTAGGCCACACCCACAGAACTGCTTAGTGGTCCCTTGGATCTAAAATTATGAGTTTGGTGGTCCCTGAGGTCCAAAAGGTTGGCAACCCCTGCTTTAAATGATGACAACAGGTGGTACCATTAATAAAAAGTCTAATTATATTAGGTGGTGATACAATGAACAGATCATCAAGAGTACTATCTGTCTAGATCTATAAAACACATATGTATGATTATTTACTGTTTCTGCAGGTAACAGATATACACACCTATATATAAACTTTGCAATGTTTTTCACTTGTATGTGTTCCTCTTAAGCTCAGAAAGCATTCTAGAAATTAGATGGATTATGTTAGATAAACTGCAGGATTTGAACTCATTTGTACCCCAGAAACAATTGACAGATATCTATTATTTGTACTTCAGAAACATCTGCAAGATGGTAGGTTACTCAGCCAAGTGTTAAGTATAAGTGTCTACTATCATCCTTGCTACATCATCTCTGATTGGAACAGTGGAGAATCTCTTTTGATTTAAAGAAAATGTAACTAAAACAACAATTCTTTTAAGTAATGATATAAATGCAACAAAACAAGCAAACTGTAAAAGTTGTAGGTTTTTTTAAAAACAGAACTTTTAACTTCCCAGAACAAATAACAATATTCACTTTGAAAAGATAACTGCCTGAACAACAATAATTTACACAGCTTTTAAACTGTACTTATTTATAGAACTCCAAGTGTGTAGACACAGAACTTAAACTATATTCCACCATTTAAAATGTTAACCCAGAATGTAAACTACTGAACAGTGACATGTATATATTTAGGAAAACTGACTTAGTCACACTTATTTCAGTAGTGATGTTGAGCAATTTTTAGAGGAGAAAAAATATCACAAAAGAGCAAAGAACTCTTGTATCTCACAGCCACTCTTTGTCCCCACTTCCCAAAACTTATTTCTAAAGTTTACAAGAAGTCAATGCTATGTTGATGGAGAAGATGATGTCTTTATTTATATTTGGGGAGGGTTTATAAAATTAAGTGCAAGATTTGCACAAACTCAACACAATAATTTTACCTACTTCCTACAAAATGCAAAGAACTGTACCACCAAAAATTATCAATCAATCAGAAAATCTGGTGGTATAATGAGGAAAGAGTAAAGAATATTGAAATATGACACTTAATATTGTTTAATTTGACTGGATTGTTTGCCTTCTGTAATTTGATACCAATAGATCTAGTAAACTCTTACTTAGAAAATATAGTGAACATATCTAATATATCTAATTGATTTTATTAGCTTCTTTAGTTCCCTATGTAGCAATATGGTTCTTTGACTTTTGTCTCCAGATAATGCTGGCTCTTTGGCTTAAGAAACAGAGATATATCATCCCCTAAAGTCAGTCACAACTAGTGGGATAAAACCCACAGAAACACCTTTAGCTTTTTAGTTCCTAATGCTTGTATTATTTTTAATTAATTTTATTTTACCTGAATTTTGATTTCTTGCTGATCTTTGATAATTATATTCAATTTTAAAGAAATTAATTATTAAAATGAAATATATGAACATATTTGTGCATGTAGTTAAGATACCTTTTCAGTGCAGTACAGCATCTAAGTGTTTAGATAGAAAATTTTAATAATCCACTTAATGGGAATTATTTGGCTAATTCCCAGTGTATTTCATCTAAACGTAACCATAGATAGTGCATGTATAATAAATAAATATGGTAATTTTCTATTATGATGACTGGCAAGAGGGAAAAATTGAAAACATTTTCTCTTTGTGGAGCCAGTTCCCTATCAAAATAATTGTTGTGCCTGCATAAAGAGCAAAAGCAGATCCTACAAACAGCATCACAAATCTCTGCAGTCTCCGAGAGTGCAATTTCTCTTTCATAATATATAGGCAGCACTTTTCATTTTCCACTGAAAATCTTTTGATTTGGGCATCATACAGTGAAAGATATATTTCAGAAAATCTGAGGTATCATTCCAAGTTAAGCATTTCTGTTCATTGCTGTTGAAGTAATAAGCAATCTGTCAAGCAAAAGATAAAGACTCACCTTATAACAAACTCATGACTGTCAATCTCTTTTCCACACCCACTATCCAGAAGGATGCCAGAATTTCCTACAACAGCACATGTCTTAAATCGACGATTCTTCATTGGAGAAACTTCAGGAAGGAGGCTATGCAAATCCTGAGAAATATTTAGTGTACGGCGTCTGTCTAACACATAGTGGATTACATCTCCCGGCTTGAAACTGCTTTTGACAACCGAGATGTCTCTTTCAGCATCCAAGAATCGAAGAATATTCTTCCTGCATTGTAAACAAGAAGGTATTGTACCTCTTTAAGACCTTAAGGAAATTGCTCATATGTCTCATCTGAAAGATGTATTTCAGAAGACTGATCTGTTTCTTTTGGGAAAACTCACCTCCGAACTTGCATGATCACTTCAAGATAATTCATACTTCAATTGCCTAATTCAAATGTCAGATAAAATAAACTCTCTGCTGTATACCAGGAGGAAATCAACATTCAGGGTAGAGAATGAAATAATAAAAAAAAATCTAAGACTGATTTTCATTGATGGGGCCAAGCCCTAGTTTGAACTGTATATGACATCCTCCCACTTTTGTGCAAATCCTCCATTTCTATGATCAAACAGTTTCTAGTATTCAGCAAGTTACTATTCAAAGGATGGAAACATTTTTTTCTTTTTTTCAGCAAGATATGACACCTCTTGAAACAATGAGTGAAAAATTATTATCTGTCAACTTAAAATTATAACAAAATTACATTTGGAAGCCTAAGATTAAAAATTGTGGTCTAATTTTAAATTTTCATGTTTAGCTCCCACAGGTCAATTTTACTGATTATTTTTAATCAACAAAGAAATCAAAACTTTTAGAAAAAAATAGATTGAATCATATCTGTAACAAAATAATTCTACACACAAAACAATAAATAACTTTAATTTAACAAATCAGTTTTCGATAGCATACTAAATTATATATGTATGTTAATAAGAAGTTAGGTCAAGAAGCGAGCGGAGAATCTTGGTTTCCAATAGATGGTTATTTCTCATGTTTTCAGCTCCAATTCCCCATCAGAGTACATTCTTAAAAGAAAAGTACTTTTTCCAGGACAATCCTGAAAGATCCATTTAAAGGTTAGTTGTAGAATCAGACTGACCCATGAGGAAATGACATCACTTTGATTCTAGAATTCCTACCTCTCATCCTGCCCAAGTCTAGATACAAACAAATCCAAGCCAACTGTGAAAATGAAATAATAGTCCTTCCCAAATGCTTGTTCCCAACGAGAAAATTTTCTTTTCTCTTCTGCTTTGGGAATGGATTTACTGTGTGCTTTTCTTACTGCTTCCTTTGAAGAGAAAAAGAGTTGCTCTAGGGCACTGTGTGGCTGTTTCTTGGGGACCAGATTTGGGATAGAGCAATGAGATTAGTGAATAGAAAATACAATCTTGTTAACTGCAGTGATTCACTTAACAACTGTGGCAAGAAAGGTCTAACAAAATTTATCTAACAATTGTCTCACTTAGCAACAGAAATTTTGGGCTCAATTGTGGTTATAAGTCAAAGGCAACCAAGCTTTATTCATTACTGCCTACAGAAGGAACATTGGAAACTGCCTTATACTGGTTCAATGGTACTTTGAAAAGCAGTGTTCCTTCATGAATTCAGTCACGTTGATGGTCTTCCTTCTAACATGGATCAAATGTTTGTAGGCATCCCATTATAAAGCTTTTCTTTAAAACAAATGTTTGGTAACTTAGCATTGAACACAAAATAGTATTTTCCAATAAGCTTCTCAATATATTTCTGATCCATATAAGTGAATGCTTAGTCCAGGATGATAGATAAGTCTATGAAGGAACTAATCTTTGCCAAGGACCTTTGAAGGGTAAAACAACCTGAGAAACACTTCCTTGATTACTTTTAGTACATTAGCCATCTAGGCACACACACAGAAAATGGCTTTAGATTTCCATGAGGACAGGCTGATGAATCACCTTTCAGACACAGTTATGTGCCCCAGAAGGCTGTCTAAGATGTGTCATCTCTTCAGTCACTGCAAACAACCTGCCTCCCTGATAAATGTGCCAACTTTTAGAAAGATTTGTCTAATTTGATAGTTATTCCTCTCCTAGCCTGTAGCCTTTTAGTAATTAACCTTATACTTGGAACCCAGTTTCAAAACTATCATCTCCAATGGCTTATTGTTTATCTTATGTAAGGAACGGGCAACCTTTTAGTAGCAGGACACATTCAATAGTTTTTTTCTGGAGAAGCAAAGATTGTATCTGCAGATGTTGATGCAACAGTTGGAGCAATGTCACGCATGCAGATAGGAATGTTTCATGCGTGTGTGCAGGTTGTGAATGGATGGTGTTTTCCTTAAAAAAAAACCTTATAAGACAAGTTTAAGTTTTATGGCAGCTGACCATGCTCCAATCTCATGGCATTTCCCCTCCAGGAGTTCCCAGACAAAATGGCTATCATTCACATTTCTGGAAGTTAAAGTACAAACTCATTCAACAAAAAGTGAATAGTGAAAAATTTAGTAAAGACAATAAATGACCATATGGTACTGGCTAACAACAGGGGTGGGATTCAAATTTTTTAATGATCAGTTCTGTGGGCGTGGCTAGGTGGGTGTAGCCATGTGACTGGATGAGCATGGATTGTTTTTGCAGCAAACACCCCCCCACACCATTTTTTTCTCCTTCTGTCAAGATTGGAGAGTCCTGACTTAGAGAACTAAAAGATAGCAAGTCAAATTAAATGGATAATTAAAAACATTTAGTCATAATGACCTCATGTTTCCTTCAGTTGTGCCTACCAGCTGTAAAAGAACAGCAACAGTGTCCTATATCATATTTTCTCAGAAAATTCATATGGGGATCTGGTTAGTCATAAGAGAAATAAGATATGAGACAGGATGGGTCTTTCATTTTCTCTAGCAAAGCTATTTTCTTAGTGAATGACAATTGCAGCAGATTTACAGATTTTAAAACAACACATAAGCTAGAAAAAAATGATAGATTTCTATACAGAGACACATAATAAATAAAGCCATTAAAATCCCGAGTATCCATATTCAGTGCTCTAAGTCAGAAGAAGATTTCTTAGATTCTAACTGAACGTTATTTCCATGAGGTATATTCATATATACATACATGAAACTTAAATATTGCTAAATGTGAAAAGAAAAATGTTTTTCTGTGTCTTCAATATACAACTAAATTAGGATCAAAACAAGAAAATACATGTTTCAGAATAATGAAGCAATAAAGCAAAATGAAAAATATTAAAACCTAAAGTGCCTAGAGATCCTGATAAATGATAATAAAGTAAGGCAAATGTTTCATTTCCCTAGTTTCACTGTTCTGCCATTTTTTTTAATCCTTAATGTAATCTTGCATCCAAATGGTTTTAAAGCCTTTCAAGTCTAATATACTTAGATTGGCAAAATGTAAGAGTATTGGAAAAATTGCATTAAAGACTAAAATAAGCAACTGATCTAGCTGCACTAATAGTTGCAAAAGGACAATAATGAATTTTTACAAGTTTCCCAGTTTCTGACTCAAAACAGTTAGCTGCATTACACAGAGTCAAATAATTGTATCAGGGATGCAGATCCCTTTTTTTTCTGAAATAGTCCTGTGCCCATGAGAGTGAACCATTATGGGCTACATGCCTCTCATCACTGAAGAAAATTCAAGAACAGAGAATGTTGAAATCAAAAGCAGGCAAAAGCAACACCTTTTTAGTTGCTCATCTCTTTCTCTCCCTCTCTCTCCCCCACTTCCTCTCTGTTGAAAAAGTGGTTAGGGAAAGATGTTTTTGCCATCAGGTAGGCTGCTTAGAGAGAGCTTTTGAAATCGAATTAAGGCTTAAAGCAGCCTTCTCTAACTGAAAACTGTCCTATAGTCCATAACTTGTGATGCCTGCAACTGAACATTACGTTACTTACTTAAGGAAGGCATTATTTTCTCCAAGGATTATGGTGGCATAGAACAGAATCCCTTGCTCAATTTTCTCCACAGCAACAACACTGTAAGATATGTTGGGCTGAAAGATAGTTCGAAGTTACCCTATGACCTCCCATAGCTGAAGATGGTCTGGATATCACAAGTCTAATATTTAGCACTCTATCCACTGGTTCTACCACATTGTTCCATCCTTTCCTTTATATTGTTTTTCAAGGTGAAAAACATGGTTTGATTGTTCCTTGCTATATTAGTTACACAACTTTGTGTGGTAAGTTAAGGTAGAAGAAAGACTGACTAGTTCAAGTTCTTTTTATGAATTTCACTGCCAAGTGAAAATTTGAACTCAGACCTCTAATTTATTTTATTAAGTACATTATATTGTGTATATTAATAAATGTATAGTAACAAATGTATTTTTTAGCACCCTAGAACAGTTTTTATGGAAAAAAGCATATTAATATGTTTTATATGTTTAATAAATAGAAACCAAGTTGCCAGAGAAAGCTCTCAGCAAATATTATATCCTACACATTTAAAAATACAAATTTTCTAGAAGAAGGCTTTTTCATTCTTTAATGCTACCGTTGTTTGGCTTTATCAACCATTAACAGTAACACATTTTTGGGAACCCAGACAAATAGATACTAACCTAATTAGAAAATCTAATTTTAGCAAAATTAGTATTATAAACTTCTTGACAATTTACAACATACTTTGTGTCAAAACAATTGGGCAAAAAGTATTAAAAAATTATTTACAGCCTGTCTTAAAATTATTTTCTGTGATAAAAACATGGAGTCAACTATAAGTCTCTACAGAGAAATACAGCCTAGGGGGGGGGAAAAAACACTCAAAGTATTAAACTACTTTACATGGAATCAAAATACTGAATGAAAAAAGAAAAGTTAGGATGTGATTTTACCAAGAATTAATCAATCAATCAAAGTCTCTAAGAGCTACACTGATATGATGTTGATGTTATTCTTTTACAAAACGAATAAAGTATTTTGGATCCTTTTTGATAATAAAGCAGATTTTGGGGCGGAGACTCAACAACAACAACAACAAAAGAGTGCTAAGAGATAGCTGAGTAGTGAAGGTTAGGTCATTTATTTTCCATTTTATTTTCACATGACAAAAAAATGAAAGATTATACAACTAAAATTCTGTTTTGCTCCTAAAATGCCCTTTGAGTCACTTGTGGCCCAGAGTTATGGATAAATTTATGACAGAGAGGTCATAGTGTCTGCCAGGGAGGGTGCAATGTTATTTCTGGGTTGCAGCAACATATAAGCATTT